CGGTTCCGGGATGTTCTGCTCCTTTCTCAGATTGAAAACTATTATAAATAAGTAGTTAAAATAATTTTTTTTTAAGTAATAAATTAGGAAAAATGTATTAACTGCATTTATCTGATCAAAAATTAAATTTGTGATTTAATAATCAAATTAAAAGAGATCTAACAAATTATAGTTGTTTGTTCATATTTATAATAATCATTTTCATACGGCAATATGAATCGTCGTGTAATGAATTACGGATTCTTGTAAGAATACTAATCGTTTTTCAACGGAAAGATAGAGACAAATTCTTGAAATTAAAAAATGTGTTTTCAATGCCCATATTTTTTTATTCTTCGCGTACGTTATGCAACTGGAAATTAAATGGAGACGCGCGCGGGTTATTTATTACAGCAAGACGAATTTCTCGTCTCGCGGATTCTAACAGACGAGCGAGACGATTATGAGCGCCACAAGATGCAGGAGCACGTCTGTAATTTACTAATTATGACAGGACGAAAGGTGACATTAGAGATGACTTTGAGCTTCGAATGTCGATTCCCCGTCCGTCTCATTCCTCGAAATCCTCCTGTGTTCACGCGGTTACATATGAATAATTATGTAATCCGCCCGGAAACATTTAATTGACGCTTAATTATTGACATTATTGTTATCGCGTGCTAACAATGATTATGGAAATGTCGCGAAAAATTCTAAACGTCAGATTTGTCGAACACAGACGATGTTTTATCCGCGTTTAATTGCATCTTGAGAAACAATTTTTTGACGAGCTTACAAAATTTAAAATATATTTTTCATCGATGAAAATACAATTATAAATATATTTTCTTCAAATTTTTTATTCACGCATTCTCGCAACACGTGTATTTTGTTACAATTATTTCGAAAAATGTAAGAAAAAAGAGCGGCCCCATAATGTTTATTCTTGCGATATTGTGATAACGTTAATCGCTTTTGTACAAGTAGCAATAAATACTCGGAATGATGAAAAGAAGCCGTAAATGCTGACGCGCTACAACTCATCGTCTAATAATGCGTCATTAACGCATTGTGAAGAAACTATAATTTTGCGTGAAATCGACAGCTTTATAGCTGTGTGAATATTCTGGCTGGCGTTAATCTAAGCAGACAAGAGATGACAAATAATTACTCATGTTGGATTGCTTTGAGTCTCTTTCCTACGCTTGCGCTTCCCGCAATTCCGTCTTGTCAATTTGACGGTGGAAATGAATTAAATGTATATTGACAAGCAGTCTCAAATTACAAATTTGCCATTGTAATCTTTCCAAACTGCAATAATATTTATATTATGTATGTCTTTGAATAATCAAAAAACAGGTGATAACCACGAAAAGTAATTTTTATACATGTTTCAAATATTTCTTATACTAAATGTTTAAATGTGAGAAATTACATTACGATATCGTTTAAATTATAAATTTAAAAGCTTTCAAAATTCCATCTGTCGTACAAGGAAGATGAAACATTGTGCAAATATTATACACGTGTCTGTCGAATCATTTTATCTCAAGTTATAATAACAAAATAAAAATGTATTATATATTTGTCTTTGAGAAGCAAATGAAACTAATTTTTGATTATTATTTTTATTATAATTTTTTATTATATATTTTTTGACGTTTCATTTAAAAGGAAATTAATTTACTACAATTTGATCTACCAGTATCGCGTCGTCGTGTTTACGGGAATCTGTTAAACGAAGCGAATCGTTAAAATGGTACACGATGGTACTACCGCGAAGGATTCAGCCCGCATAATTACCAATGGCGAACAGCGACGATCGATACTACCTGGCTACCTTATCACGGTTATTGTACACGATGCTCCAGCGATGCAATGAAGCCTTCCGTTCCGTGAAACAAACGATCCGACTCACGGCCTCGAAATAGTCGCGTTGTTATACTAACGCGATATATATCTTGTGATTACGTGCCCCTTGTTTAAAAACATGACGAACGATTACATGATGGAATTAGAAATATGCATTCACGTATCCGGCTCATATCTATTGGACAATTAACGAGAACGCTTATTCTTTCCATCGCGGCGATTAATTCTCAGCCTTCAGAGCTGTATAGATTGTTTTAATAGTTATCAATATTCGCAATTTGTATGTTATACACATATCAAGTCCGTCAGGGATATGGATGCTAAAAATATCCCATCCTTTTAAACACATTTTAAATCTTTAATGCAGAATATTGTTATTTTTTTTTTTTTTGCTTATAAAAATATTTAGATTATTACTTCGAGTATAATATACGCGTGGAATACAAGTTGATAGCGAATATATTTGTTATCCCGCATGAATATTCATGTTGCGAATGCCATTTTTATGAAAAAAAAAAATTTCGTATCTTTTTTTTATTTACAACAAAGCTTTTTACTTAATGTGATCATTTTACGGATCGATTTCGACAGATGATCGGGCGATGCGGTGGTCGGTTCCTCTCGAAAGATATTTTCTACCTGCCTGCGGTCATGACAAAAAATTTGGGCGCCGGCGTGACTCACGATACGCGATGACTAATTCCATTGAGTAATTCGAGCAGATTCGAGCCGAGGAAATCGAAGGAATTCTCTCTCATCAAATGGTGTAGCGCGAATGTACCGGAGAAGAGCGAGAGGAAGAGAGAGAGAGAGAGAGAGAGAATATATATGGACTCTCTCGGCGAGGCTCACTGCCTAATGACCGAGTGTTATTAAGCCGATTATAGAGCATCGATCGCGCGTTACCTCGGGATACTTTGATGGCGCGCGATGCACTTATGTCAGATCTCGACCGACAATGAGAAAGCTGCCGTACTTGCGCGACCATAATCATGGTATTCGCGCACTTGGTGACCTTGATGGTATCCGTACCACCTTGCGAGCCTTGAACTTGCACGTCGAAGAATCTCGTACGAACTTGGCAATGGTCCAAGTTCGATCTTACTTAAATCTGCATCCACGACAGGAGACACTCGCGTATTTTATTCTTTGTCTTTTCTCTCTCTCTCTCTTCTTCCTCTCTTTCTTTCAAAATTTTTTACAAGACCCGTAGTTTTTTGGCATATCCCACATTCGAAGCTAAATATGACCACGTCTAATTCAGAAAGAGGTGTATTGTTACGATCGATCAAACATTCCGCACGTTCGCATCGATCGTCTCGTCGCAAAAAATGCATTAATATTGTAATATTTAACATTGAATAATAAATTTAATGTCGCGACATTTTTATTAACAATTCTTCTAGCAATCTCATTTGTGATGTTTTTATTTCCGGTATCGTCGAGCGCTTTTATTCATGCAAAGAATTATTACGTGAATCATTTAAGAATATATATATTTCCTCTATGAGCACAATTTTTTGATTATTAACCGATAAAGGTCAAATAAACGATTCAACGCATCGCTCATTTTCTTTCGAGATGCGTTATTATTTAATCATCACTCGCGGCGAGCCATAATAAAAGTTCCGTTATTGCATTAATGCTCTGTGATGGCGAATACACATTATTGTCTATCCCCCGCGGGGATGAACATCATCGTCACAGAAAGCAATACGATTTCGCAATACGCTATCCGTTTTGATCGAGAGATACATACGCGTCTGACGCATCCTGTTATGCGCGATATTTTTTTTTCACAGCCTTTGGCATGATCGAAGGCAAGATCCGATCTATGTACACGTTACTCGTTTCCGGATGCGTGCTTCAGACTATTAGAAGAAGCTGAAGTATCTCTTCCTCTCTTGAAGCTTATGGAAAAATCATCTCACGAATCTCAATATTTCGATTAATCTCGAACATTTATCAACACATCTCAAGTAGGAATATATCAGTTTATAAAAAGTATTACCAGATATAATGTCACAAGCGCTGCTTTCTCTCTCTCTCTCTCTCTCTCTCTCTCTTACATATTTTTTATATTTATACTAATTATTTATATAATAAATTATCTCTCTGTCTATTCTTTTCTCGAATATTTTATTTTATATTTTTAAAGAACATGCAATAGAGTGTTCATCCATTTATTTTTGTATTTATCGCTAGACAGTATGCTACCTTATCTTTATTGGCTGCCTGACACCTTTTTTGAAAAACATTGCTCCATGAAACATCTTTTTATCGCCAATAACGCATTAAAGCTATACATTAAAGCTATCCCGAAGACCTACTAGCGTCTCATAAAAATCGTTTAACGGGTTAAAGAGAGAGAGAGAGAGAGAGAGAGAGAAAGCAGCGCTTGTGACATTATATCTGGTAATACTTTTTATAAACTCATATATTCCTACTTGAGATGTGTTGATAAATGTTCGAGATTAATCGAAATATTGAGATTCGTGAGATGATTTTTCCATAAGCTTCAAGAGAGGAAGAGATACTTCAGCTTCTTCTAATAGTCTGAAGCACGCATCCGGAAACGAGTAACGTGTACATAGATCGGATCTTGCCTTCGATCATGCCAAAGGCTGTGAAAAAAAAATATCGCGCATAACAGGATGCGTCAGACGCGTATGTATCTCTCGATCAAAACGGATAGCGTATTGCGAAATCGTATTGCTTTCTGTGACGATGATGTTCATCCCCGCGGGGGATAGACAATAATGTGTATTTATTTTTTATATTTATACTAATTATTTATATAATAAATTATCTCTCTGTCTATTCTTTTCTCGAATATTTTATTTTATATTTTTAAAGAACATGCAATAGAGTGTTCATCCATTTATTTTTGTATTTATCGCTAGACAGTATGCTACCTTATCTTTATTGGCTGCCTGACACCTTTTTTGAAAAACATTGCTCCATGAAACATCTTTTTATCGCCAATAACGCATTAAAGCTATACATTAAAGCTATCCCGAAGACCTACTAGCGTCTCATAAAAATCGTTTAACGGGTTAAAGAGAGAGAGAGAGAGAGAGAGAGAGAAGCGCGGTGCGGGCGCCGACAGCGATTCCCGCGCGCGGCTTCGCTTAGGAATTCCTCGCCGGGCGGATACACCTTATCGCGGCTCGTCTTTCGCGAGGAGCTATCCCCTTCGGCGCAGGTTATCCGTCGTGGGGGCCGTCAGGTGGGAGGTGGAGTCACGGGTGACGAGTCTCAGTAGGGCCCCCGTCGGCACAGGTAGGTAGACAGGTAGGGGCCCCCCTTGGGCTCCCACGGCATACACGTACCCCCGGTAACATTGGACCCCCACTTGTGAACGGCGATGACCATCATCGAGACCGTGGCGTCCCGCCGCCTACAGTTGCAGTCGGCGCACCATTCCACAAGCACGCGACATTCCGCGCGCGCGGCGGATACCCCGCGAGAATACCCGGTACTCTCGGCATAAAACTGATAAATCAGAAAAAAAAAATATAACCAAATTTCGGGTAGAAATAGGAAAAAAAAAAAAGAGCGAGACCCGTGATCCACAACGCGTTCTGCCTATAATCATAATATATAAATACTTCCGAAGATATTGCGTGAATACGTGTATTCGACAGTGAGAAATTTGACTACTTCTGACGGGATCGATCGGCGGAAGCAACGCGTTCCTTTTCGTCTAAGATTTAATGAATCTTGGAGTCGTGCCTCGTGCTTTATATATAGATGCCTGTACTTATTAATGAATAATTTGAATACTCGAAGATCAGCGGGATTAAAGGATCAACATTTGCATTGCCTGAAATCCGCGTTTTGTTATATGAATTGCGAAAAATTCAGTGCTACGATTCCCGGTGCTGTTTTGCAAATATCAATATTCATCACTTAATAGAGAGAATATTATATTTAATTGATCGAGAGAGAAAAAGAGTGATATCTTCCAGAATAAGAGAAATACAGTGAGTAATGATGAAAACATTAGAAATACAGTGTTTTACTCGGATATTGTCGGTTTTTAATTGAATAAAGATTGTGTTGGTGATTCATTGAATAATGATTTTGAAATAAAGTAAAAAAATAATATTGAGAAAAACTGAGGAATGCGAAGAAATTTTATAGGATTTTTATAGCCGGTATTAGACAGCAAGAATGTTTCCAGAGAAAAGTAGTAGAATCATAAATTGTTAAAATAATTAGTTAATTTATGAGCTTAAAACGAAGTATAAAGAATGTATTTTAAGAGATATCTAAGAAAAAGTATTTTATATATATGTAATAATTTTATAGATGACGTTTTGGGGGATAAGAGCAAGTCTTTAAAAATCTTAATAGTATTTAAAAAGATGTCATAACAATTAATCAATTAATAATCTTGATAAGAGATAGTTCTTATGATTAGTTAATTAATGATTTTGAGATGTAAATGCACCGTAACTATCGCGTATATAATACATATGCTAGAAGTAAAAAAACATCTTCTAGATAATGTTTCGACGGATTAAAAGATGTTGATTATGGCAATGAATTAATGACGCTACAAAGGGTAATAATGTCATAAATATTGTTGCTAACATGCGTGAATCGCAAAACTACGCGCTTGCGGTGTGTAGAAGATATTGTCGTATTAAATGGAATGAGAGAAAAGCGCACGGACGGAAGAAGTTTAATGTACGGTATTCGCGCGTGCGATAATGGTGACAGCCGGTGACAGTATTACGTTAATAGAGATGCGTGAGCGATCGAGATGTATGCGCGTGGCACAAACGATTGTCAGTGAATACAGTAGGATGAATCAGAAAGTGCGTATGTCCCGTCGGAACTCTATTGCTCTCACAAAGAAAGAAAATGCTAATACTTATTAAATACATATGTTTTTATCATTTTTTTTTTTTTTTTTTAATTTTCTTATACAAAAACACAGATTATATAATAACGGAAATATGTTAATTTATTGCCTTCTCTTTTCATTCTTTTATTTTATATTTTAATTATTGATTTTAAAATATATATTGACAAAGAAGTAGTCAATATATATTTGTAGATAATTGTTTATTCTCTACAATGTATTATTCAATGCTTATGATGTATAATATTTTACTTGTACGATCTCTGTGTCAATTTAATCTAATTAAAAAGTTTAAATATAATTTATGTGTGTGTGTGTGTGTGTGTGTGTGTGTGAATATTATCAATCAAATTATTTTAAAGATTTGGACGATATATGTATATATATATATTTGAATTACAATCGCTCGAGATACGCAAAGAAATCGAGAATCATTAATCGAATCTTTGATATTAAATATATCGGTCTGTTCTTAAGAAATTTCACGATACTTATGCAAGCTAATATATTCTGCTCTCGTTCGTGAAATATTTATAATTTGATGAATCAGCCTAGTTAATTGGCGTTTCGCACTTAGCCATGGAAAGTTCAAGGAAATGCATTTAAACACGGATTTCCTTAAAGCTGGTATTATATTTAGACGATTACTTATTTACAATCATACTTTGCACTCCATTATATATGCTAATTAGAAACCGCAATATGACAATTAACCATGTTATTTTACATGCGAGTAAAATCGTCCATGTTAGAAATAGAATTACTCCCGATCGTCGTGAAAACTTTATTCGAAAGATATCAAATGCGGTGGACATCGAGCTCATTTTCCGTCAACAAAGACTGCAACGTATTAAATTAAAAAATCTTGATTAATGAAACACTAATGAATAGATAGTATAATTACAAGCAATGCCAAACTATGTTATAATAACAAACCAATTGAAATTAATTAATTTTATCTTATGAATTGCTTTTAATTATTTTACATTATTTAATTACAAAGTA